TCTGCATTGGATGAAGGACCTGAAACTGGAAAAACACATAGGTTTTACTTTATCAAAGACATTCCTGGGACAGTGCTTTTGGTAAATAACTTCACCTTAGATCTCATGCCCACACATGACAAAAGCAAGTGCTCTCTTCATTTAAAAATTTATAATAAAAAGAGGTGCACGTTCAAGTGATCATAAAGATAGGGTTTTGATTTGTAAATTTCACCCTAATGAGAGTAGTCAAGTACCTTAGCAGCATCAGCAGCATCACCCTCTACTGTCAGCAGTGGGACAAGGGAACGGTCCTCCAACTCTGCCAGCCCTACTAGGGCTTCATCTTCACAAAAAATTAGCAGCAGAAAGTGAACACTGCAGTAATACAATTGACACTAAAAACTGTGAGAACCATTTAACTTTTCTTTTTTTCCATTTTTCATGCCTTTGATACTGCCGCACCTAATAGCCTAAGATTATGGTGTCTCTGGTCCTCCAAAATATGGTTATCTTAAATCAAAATCTTTCATAAATTTAAAAACATTACATAAGATGCTACTGTCAGTATCTGAAACTCACTCTGGCATCACTTGAAAGATTTCCAGTGCCAGAGTACACGTTACCAAAGACTTAAAGATACGATTAAAGGGAAGATTGTAATGTATACATTCACATTAGTAAGGATCACATTAAATACATTTTAACACTTCGGTGCAAATCTCACTTTAAATCCAGAGGGTGTTTGCTAAATTGAGAACCACCATCACAACAAAACACCTCCTTTCAGAGGTGCTGGTTTAGTCTCCACAGGCAACTGCCTAGAGTAAATGCAGGGCATGCAGCTTAATGGATCTAGAGAGGGTACCGTTGAGGTGGTACCTTCTCACCCAACGGAAAGCCACAACAGGGATTGGGTGCTATTGGTTGTCTGTTCCTGCCACTGTTCATTTTACTCCAAAATCAAATCAGCAAAGCTAAAATATTTGCCAGATGTTCACTGTTAACTGTTATTAGTTTCTGGCTGGTCCTGTATTTCTCCTGCCCTCCTCTGGTGAACGACCAGGTAGTTTAATAATGAGAGTCAAATCACAATGGGCAGTGATTTGCCATCTCCTCACCTCAGTCAGGGCACAAAGCTGAGGGAACCATGCCCCCTGCTCAGTGATGACAGAGCAAAGGCATAGATCACTCATATGAACACAGATGGGTCACTGCTCTGCCAGCTCAGATGGTAGGAAAGGGTGACCAAGAGGCCACAGAAAGCTGAGAACAGCACCGGGATGTGTTGCGTGCTCCATGATTCCTAAAGAAAAGATGTCAGTTAGCCAAGTCACTCCACAGCTACATGAATAGCAGGATCTCTACCAAACATTTAAAACATCTCCACAGTTCAGCTGGATGGGTGAGTTATTCCTGTGATCATTTCTGCCCATGGTCATATAAGCATCTGCTGGGCACACAAAAAACTCACCTGTCGGTTTACGAACATTGATTTTGATAAGGGATTGGGGTGGGGGGTGTTTTGACTAATTGTACACACTTATAAGAATAAAACCCGAAACCTTCCTGAAATTAAGCTTAGGATTTTTTATAGAATGTAATATTAAATATGTGTCACTCTTCTGAATTCAATGTAACAATTATAATAATTATATTTCTCAATGGTTATTAACTGATAGTCTAAATGCATAAAAAGTGTAAACGTGGCATAAGAGATTAAACAGACTAATGAACTGAAAACTTGATAAAGATTGAAGAGTCAGCTGAAAGATTTCCAGTGCAAGAGTATACTGTTACTAAAAGACTTAAAGATATGATTAAATGAAGGACTGTAATGTATATATTCATGTTAGTAAGGATTACACTAAATGCATTTTAACACTTTGGTACAAATCTCACTTTAAATGGCATAAGCAAAGAAAGAGCAAAGTTATTTCAAATGAAAAGAGAAAGACACTTCAGGTTTAATTTGATAGAAGCACAGATGGCAGTTATCAACACATTGTATTGTTACCAGCCCAAGCAGTGTGGTGGCCTGGGACTCCAGCTCTCCTTCCACATACACATGCTGCTCCCACCAACACACACCTGTCTCTCACATGCCAAGAAAACATCTACATATTAACCTTCTCAATCGCCATCAACAGAATCACTGATGCCCTTCTGAAAGCTGAATTTAGTCAAGAAATTAAATACTTTTATCTCAAGATTTTTTTAAAGATGGGTTGTCAATTGTGCTTACATGAAATCTTCAAATGAATGAGTCAAGTGTGCTTAGCAGTTATCCTCTGTAACTGCTAAGACAGGCTGGAAAGCAAATGATACCCTGGATAGAGCAGGTGATTTTATTTTTGAATACTTCATTTTCTTACAAATTAAAATGTATTTCTTTTATCTTTCCCATTGTGGAAGTCTTAACGCCCGAGAGCAGTACCTGGAAAGCAAATTGCAGGGAGCTGACTCGCAGAGACTGCTGAGCTGCATGGTTACAAAGTCAGGAAGTAAGACTCACTGTCTCCAGACGCATCTCCACACAGATCCCCACACCAAGACGTCCCACATGCCTCTCAGATCAGCTTCCCCTGAAGGTCAGATGCAGTGCCTTTTCTAGTGCCCTAAGGTATCATGCATTCATTATTTTTCAGATTCTGTGCAGATGTCTTCCTCACCAATTTCATTAAAAAACTCAAACCCAGTGATGAAGCATCCTCCACGTACCTTTTCTTCCCTTGGAGTTTTCATCAGCAACACATTCCCTTCCAGTATCCAAGGAAGACGTGTACTTTCTCCCTCCTGAGCCAAACCCTCCCCTCAGATCAGGATGTCCTACTCTTTTTCATTGGTCCCCTCTGCCCTGCCTATAAAATACTTAAGTTGCTGACATCTTTTTTGAGACAGAGTCACTATCACCCAGGCTAGAGTGCAGTGATGCAATCTCACCTCACTGCAACCTCCCTCACTTCAACCTCTGCCTCCCAGGTTCTAGTGTTTCTCCTACGACAGCTTCCCGAGTGGCTGGGATTACAGGTGTGCACCACCACAACCAGCTAATTTTTTTGTTATCACCATTTTGGTCAAGCTGGTCTCAAACTCCTGACCTCAGGTGATCTGCCCCCTTGGCTTTACAAAGTGCTGGGATTATAAGCATGAGCCACTGTGCCCGGCCAGTTGCTGACATCTTTAACAAATAAAGTCAGTCCTCCTTCCCCTTGACCCTGTTGCCCTTGAAAGCTACTGTACTATCCTAGTCTGTCCGGGCTGATATAACTGAGTATCATAGACTGGGTGGCTATAAACCACAGAAATTTATTTCTCACAATTCTGAGGGCTGAAAGCCCAAGGTCAAGGTTCAGAAAGGTTTGTTTGGGGAAGCCCTGCTCCCTGATTCCTAGATGGTGCCTGTTTGCTGTGTTCTCAGGTGGTAGAAGATGTGAGAGAACACTCTAGGGCAGGCGTCCCCAAACTGTGGCCCCCTGAGGCCATTTATCCGGCCCCCCGCCACACTTCAGGAAGGGACACCTCTTTCATCGGTGGTCAGTGAGAGGAGCACAGTACGTTGCGGCCCTCCAATGGTCTGAGGGACAGTGAACTGGCCCCCTGTGTAAAAACTTTGAGACGCCTGCTCTAGGGCCTCTTTTACCAGGCACTAATCCGATTCATGAGGACTCCTCCCTCGATAGCTGTAATCACCTCACAAAGAGTCCTCATCTCAGATACCATTACATTGGGGATTAGGATTCAACATGAATTTTGATGGAGACATTCAGTCTATAGCATACACTATTCCTCTTTTTCCTTTCAGTGCCATCCCAGCCTTTTGAAGGTCTGGGCTCCACATTTCACTTCTGGTCATCGGTGAACGACTCAGTAGTGTCTGTTATGCTGGGTACATTTAATGACTGGAGGTCCTACCATGAGCTGTGTGACCTGGCCCTCCCAAAGTGCTAGGATTACAGGCATGAGACACTGTGCCCAGCCTTAATATTATTAAGACAGAGTTTAGCTCTTATTGTCCAGACTGGAGTACAATGATGTAATCTTGGCTCAAGGCAACCTCCACCTCCTGGGTTCAAGTGATTTTCCTGCCTCAGCCTCCCAAGTAGCTGGGACTACAGGCATGCACCACCAGGCCCAGATAATTTTTTTGCACTTTAGTAGAGATGGGGTTTTACCATGTTGGTCAGGTTGGCCTCAAACTCCTGACCTTAGGTGATCTACCCGCCTTGGCCTCCAAAAGTGCTGGGATTACAGCAGGGTTGGGCTGTGGGTAAAGACAGCTAGAGCCAGAATGTTCATGAGCTGATTATTGTTGAAGCTGGGTATCAATACATAGGGTTCATTCTGCATTTTCTAGCTGTTATAGACAGAAATTCCCATAATAATTGATTTTAAAAGAAATGAGTGAGGCAAAGTAGCTCACGCCTGTAATTCCTGCACTTTGGGAGATGAAAGTGGAAGGATGGCTTGGGGCCAGGAGTTTGAGACCAGCCCGGGCAACACAGGAAGAACCTGTCTCTACAAAAAAATCAAAAAATTAGCCAGGTGTGGTGGTGCACACCTGCAGTCCCAGCTACTTTGGAGATTGAAGTAGGAGGACATTTGAGCCCAGGAGTTTGAGGCTGCAGTAAGCTATGGCTGAACCACTCCACTCCAGTCTGGGTGACAAACAGACACCCTGCCTCTAAAAAATAATTTTTTAAAGATATTTAATTAATTAATTTACATATCTGAAGATGGAGTTTCACTCTGTCGTCCAGGCTGTAATGTAGTGGCATGATCTCGGCTCACTGTATCTCCCGGGTTCAAACAATTCTACCTGAGCCTCCTAAGTAGCTGGGATTACAGGTGTGGGCCACCACACCCAGCTAATTTTTGTATTTTTATTAAGAGACATGATTACGCCATGTTGGCCAAGCTGGTCTGAAAATTCTGAACTCAAGTGCTCCACCTGCCTCAGGCTCCCAAAGTGTGAGATTCCAGGCGTGAGCCACCATGCCAACCTTTTATATAAATTTTCTTTTTTAAAAGTGTTCTGGTTGGGTCAGTTGACAGGCCCCAGGTCCCTTGAGTCTCATTTACTTCCATTGCATGGCAGGAGTTTCTGTCCGTTCCCTGTTCCCCAGGAGCAGGAGTGAGCACACCTCTGCTTCCCTGCCCAGGTACTCCAGCCCCTCCTCCCTCCTCCCAAGGCCACCCTCCTGGCAAGCCCACCCCAGTGCCTGGGACCTAGGGAAGGAGAGGCAGGTGGGTGTGGTCTGGCCTGCAGTGTAGAGATGACGCCAATGGCCATCTGAAGCACAGCACTCATGGTGTCTGACACTTCAAACAAAGCTTTCCTGTCCTCCTGGGAGATACATGGCAGGAGGTGAGGGCCCAGCAGCCCCTTGGTACCCAGGGTCCACACAGCCCCACCCCACAAGGAGGCACCCCCACTGCCTTCCATGGGAAGAATACTCAGTACCCAAAGGAAGGGCCGAGAGCTCTAAAACCAGCCACAGATGGGGCTGAGTGCACAGGATGGGAGTAGGTACGGCAATCCTGGGGGCCCCTGCCTGGGTGTGCCAGAGCCCCGAGAATTGGCACGTGGTGTGTAGGCAGGCAGGCCTCCCCCAGCCACTGTCTCCAGCCTCACACCTGTAGGTCTTTGTTGTAGGTGCTGGCAAGTCCCTTGAGGGTCATCAGGAGCACGGCATGTTGCAATAAGAGGGAGGCACGAGGGCTGGACCCAGAATCCTAACCCTGGGGACCTCACATCCACCCTTCCTTTCTCCCTGCCCTGCTCACCTGCCCAAACACACACCCCACCTTGTTCCAGATCAGCTCCAAGCTGTCAGGGTTTTTCTTCTGAGGCATCAGGCTGCTTCTGGAGCTGCAGACAGAGATGCAGGCACTGAAGGGGCTGGGCCCTTGGCTGGTCCAGCAGCTCACTGGCCAGGTCTGGCAGAAGGCAGGGAGGAAGGAAGCCATGCCTAAGGGGGTTGGGGAACACAAAGTCTGGGAGGGGCAGGTGGAAGTGGCAGCTCAGGGCTTACCTGTAGGCATTTGAGAGCTACACGAAGCTGAATTCCTTGGTGCCGTAGAGGATGAGGTCCCTGGCCATCCTGCTGAGATGGGTCATACAGAATGAAGCCCAGAACAGGAACTCAGCTGCAAGAAAGAAAAGGTTCCCAGTCACCAAGCCTTGCCGGTACTCACCCAGCCTGACCGCAGAGGGAGTAAGAGGTGGTCGGGGGACCTGGCTAAATTTTCATTTTTTTTCAGATGGAGTCTGTTCTGTTGCCAGGCTGGAGTGCAGTGGTGAGATCTCAGCTAACTACAGTCTCCACCTCCCAGGTTCTAGCAATCCTCCTGCTTCAGCCTCCTGAGTAGCTGACACCATGGAAAGCTAATTTTTCTATTTTTATTAGAGACGGGATTTCACCGTGTTGGCCAGGGTGGTCTCGCTCTCTTGAGCTCGTGATTCACCTGCCTTGGCCTCCCAAAGTTCCTGATTAGAGGTGTGAACCACTGTGCCCGACCTAAATACTCATTTCGAGTAAAGATGGGGTCTTGCTATGTTGCCCATGCTGGCCTAAAACACCTGGGCTCAAGCAATCTTCCTGCCTTGGCCTCCAAAAGTGCTGGAATTACAAATGTGAGCCACTGCACCTAGCCTGTTTTTTGTTATTGTTGTTGTTTTAAATAAACCAGCTTTGGCTGGGTGTGGTGGCTCACTCCTGTAATTCCAGCACTTTGGGAGGCCAAGGTGGGTGGATCATGAGGTCAGGAGATCCAGACCACCTTGACCAACATGGTGAAACCCCATCTCTACTAAAACTACAAAAATATTACCCGGGTGTGGTAGCATGCACCTGTAGTCCCTGAGCCAGGAGAATCACTTGAACCCAGGAGGTGAAGGTTGCAGTGAGCCGAGATCGTGCCACTGCACAAGCCTGGCAACAGAGCAAAACAAAACAAAAAATGAGATAAACCAGCTTTACTGAGGTATCATTCATATACAATCTACCCATTTATTTATTTTTATTTTATTTTTGGAGATAAAGTTTCACTCTTGTCGCCCAGGCTGGAGTGTACTGGTGTGATCTCAGCTCACTGCAGCCTTGGCCTCCTGAGTTCAAGCGATTCTCCTGCCTCAGCTTCCCAAGTAGCTATGGCACCCACCATCACACCCGGTTAACTTTTGCATTCTTAGTAGAAATGGGGTTTCACCATGTTGGCCAGTGGTGGGATTACAGGCATGAGCCACTGTGCCCTGACCAATTTACTCATTTAAAGTTTACACTTTAGTGTACAATCATCACCACAACCAGTCTGACCATACAGGGGTAGGAGAAGACTGGAGAGAAGCCAGGTTGGAGGACAGAAGTGAGGCACAGGGCAGGGGACTGGCTCCCCTAGACTCACCCACGAAATTATGCTCACTGGTGGCATCCATGCTGTTAAGAGTGATGGGCCCAAAGTTGAGTTCTGGGGGTTGGGAGGAAGCAGGGCTGGGCTGGAGAACAGGGAGCGGCCTCCTCTCCCCTAACCAGGTTGCCTGGCCCCCTCCCCCTGGAAAGAGGATCAGGGAAGATGATCAGGGTGGGTGGGGTGGGAGCTGGGGGGAGGCATCTTTTCCACAGTCTCAGGAGGGATGTAGGAGCCCTGACTCTCTGGGTATCAGGCACCCCTGCCATGGGTGACCTCTGGCCTGGATAAGCTCAGTGCCCATAGGCAATGAATGATGGTTTCACCAGGGGCCACAGATCCCTTCCCTCTGGTGTGTCTGCATGTCCTGGTGGGTGCTGAGGGTGACTCTCCCTAGGGAGGAGGGGCAGGGTATCTCACCTGCTCAAAGCAGCTCTCCGTCCACACCCAGGAGATTGCCTGAAATGGCCCCACTGCAGGGACAGGGATTCATGGTGACCAGGGCTCCTGGCAGGCAGCCCTGACACACACAAACACACACAAACACACACACACACACACACACACACACGAATGAAATCCTAGTTGCCAGCACAACCGCCTGAAGCTCAGCCTCTTCCCTGGCCCAGCTGCCTTGGGTGCACAACACTTTTCCCCTAATGTCCCCAGAACACTTATCCCCAAGCACTGAATCACCTTGGGTGCAGGACCCTTATCACTAGGGCTCCATGCAGGGTCCCCCTCTGAGCAGATAATCCGATTTTCTATCCCTCTCTGCCCTTCACAGCTCATGCCTGAATCCCTAAGGCTATGCAGCAGCCTCCCCCACCAGGCCCTTAGGGAAATGGAGCCTCACCAACCTCCCCGGGGCAGGACACCAATCCATTTCCACACCGCCAGCAGCCACTCAGAGTCTAGGGTCAGCACCTTGGCACGGTTGTTGGAAGCCAGGGGCAGGAGGGTCAGGGCAGCCAGGGTCCTCCCCTCCAGCATGGCCCCTGTACCTCACCCACCTCACCTCGGAATCCAGAGGCTCCAGTGAAGAGACTGGGCCCTATGCAGGTGGGTGTACCCTGGGAAGAGGACGTCATATTCCCTATGGGAGAGAAGCAGGGACTCAGGTGGAGGCTGGGTGAAGGCCTGCTGGTGACACTGGGACCCTGCAGGCATGCATCACCGCTGGGAAGTGTTGCCCTACAGCACTGCACCTGAATGAGGGATCCAGGATCTCCCAGGCACAAATCGCTCTCAAGGGAAAAAGAGGACGAAATGGGGCTGTGTGAACCACATACTGGGCCTGAGCTATGGGGCTCCTGGGGTAAGGAACACCCAAAGCCTGAGTCTCTGTCACTCAGGATCTCCCATCAGGGGCTAGAACAGGGGAGGTGGCCCATGTTGGGTATGACTTGGGAGGTTTCGTTTGAGGACCTCAGAAATAGTCGGGGCTCAAAAAGAGCTGCTCGGAGCAGGTGGGACACCCTGCCCCTCATTCAAGTTACTAATTTATTGTATTTTTAGTAGAAACAGGGTTTCACCATATTGGCCAGGCTGGTCTTGAACTCCTGACCTCAGATGATCCACCCACCTCGGCCTCCCAAAGTGCTGGGATTACAGGCATGAGCCACTTCGCCCAGCCTGTTGTTGTTTTAAATAAATCAATTTTGCTAAGATATCATTCACATACAATTTATCCATTTGAAGTTTACACTTTAGTGTACATCCATCACCAATTTTAGAACATTTTCGTCACCCGCTAAAGAAATTCTGTACTCAAGGCCAGGCACGGTGGCTCAAGCCTGTAATCCCAGCCAAAAGGGTAGGATCACTTGAGGCCAGGAGTTCAACCAGACTGGGCCACATAGTGAGAACCCATTACTACAAAAAATGTAAAAACTTCGCAGGGTGTAGTGAACACCTGTGGTCATACCTACTCAGAAAGCTGAGGTGGGAGGATCATTTGAGTCCAGCAGTTTGAGTCTGCAGTGAGCTATACCAAGCCACTGCACTTCAGCCTAGGTGACAGAGCAAGAGCTCGTCTCTAAAGACAATTTAAAAAGAAAAAATTTTGCTGGGCATGGTGGCTCACATCTGCAATCCCTGCACTTTGGGAGGCCAACGTGGGTGGACCACAAGAACAGGAGATTGAGAACACCTTCGCCAACATGGTAATACCCTGTCTCTACTAAAAAATACAAAAATTAGCTGGGCATGGCACGTACCTGTAGTCCCTGTAGTCCCAGCTACTGTGGAGGCTGAGGCTGGAGAACTGCTTGAATCCGGGAGGCAGAGGTTGCACTGAGCTGAGTGCCACTGCACTTTAGCCTGGGTGACAAGAGCAAAACTCTGTCTCAAAAAAAAACAGTTAAAAATTTAAGAATTAGGCTGGGCACAGTGGCTTATGCCTATAATAATCCCAGCACTTTGGCTGGCTGAGGCAGGCATATCACCTGAGTTCAGGAGTTCGAGAGACCAGCCTGGCTAACATGGTAAAACCCATCTCTACTGAAAAAAAAATACAAAAATTAGCTGCATGTGGTGGCACACACCTGTAATCCCAGCTACTTGCGAGGTTGAGGCACAACAATCACTTGAACTGGGGAGGCCAAGTTTGCAGGCAGGTGAGATTGCACCACTGCACTCCAGACTAGGCAAAAGAGCAAGACCCTGTCTCAAAAGTAAATTAAAGAAACCCTGAACTCAGTAGCAGACACTTCCCTGTTCCTCCTAGCAGCCTTGCCCCACCTCCACGGTGACAATTTGTGTGCCCTTATTTCCCTCCAATCTGAGAAACAGGGGTCACAGGGAGTTGACGAAGAGGAGGGATCTCTGACAACATGTGGAGACTCCTCGGCAGCTCCTCCTCCAGGTCTGCAGGGAACAAACCCAGACCCAAAGACACCAGAAGCCAAAGCCTGGGATGAGGCCAGCAGGAGGTAGTCTTTGACTCTGTCTTTCAACAGATGGGCTGGGTGGGGACACGGAATATGGGAGACATGGGGCACAGGCAGGGTGGGGAAAGACTCTGGCTGCTCCAGGCACAGCCAACCTAGTGCCTTAGTTTCCCTTCCCTCAAATCTGCAAAGGGTGAGTTCTCTTTTTATTTTTTGAGACGGAGTCTCACTCCGTCTCCCAGGCTGAAGTGCAGTGAAGCAGTCGAAGCTCACTGCAATCTCTGCCTTTCAAGTTCAAGGGATTCTCCTGCCTCAGCCTCCCAAGCAGCTGTGATTACAGGTGCACACCACCACGTCTGGCTAATTTTTGTATTTTTAGTAGAGACAGGGTTTCATCATATTGGCCAGGCTGGTCTAGAACTCCTGACCTCAGGTGATCCACCAGCCTCTGCCTCCCAAAGTGCTGGGATTATAGTCATGAGCCACCACACCAGGCCCCAGGAAGGGTGAGTCCTCCCTGCCTGCTGAGCTAGACTGGAATAGGAATATTGGGGTCTACAGGAAATGTTCCACTCTGGCTGCTCTGCCTTGATCCTAGAGTTCTGCAATACCCCTGTCCCCCAGGGCCTAGCAGCCCCACCCTATTAACCCCTACCACCTAGTCTGCTGTTCAGGCTGCCATCACACCTCTCTCTGACCCCTGGGTGTCCCTTGGGAACTCACACCTCTGTCAGATCCACCATGGTCCTGATGAGCTCCCAGAGGAGGCCGGAGAGCATGGAGCCGCATCCATAGCCTAAGGTCCATGACCACCTGTGCAAGCAGGAGGTGATGCTCAGGGAGGCTGAAATGTTGCTTCCCTGGGGAACCAGGACCCTGCTGAGCTCTAACTGCCCCCTGGACTCCCCAAGGCTGGGACAGCACGGAGCAGGGCGGGGAGGAGCTAGAGGCACCTGGTCGTTCTGGCTGCATCCCGTGTGCAGCTTCCCAGCAGTTTTGCCGAGCTCTTAGAGGTGAAGGGAAGCCCAGGGTCACAGTCTAAATGCCTGCAGAGTCAATCCAGGCAGGGCAGCATTCATCAGCACTGCCAACCTCCCTCTCTACCCCAGGGCCCCGAGTCTTGCCCAAATCTTTCACCAATTCTGTTAGCCCTATTGTTACTGTTGTTGTTTTTCTTTCAATTTTTTGTAGTTATGGAACCTTGTTATGTTGCCCAGACTGTTCTCGAACTCTTGGCCTCAAGTGATCCTCCCACCTCAGCCTCCCAAGGTGCTAGGATTATAGGAATGAGCCACAACTGGCCCGTGTCCTGAGGTATCCACGGCTGTCTGCCAATGGCAAAGTAAACAGAACAATGGTGCTAATGCTCAAAGTGGCCCAGGGCCAGGTGGAGATGGGAGGCCAAAAAGCGGTGGGGCCACAGGGGTCATACCTTCAGGCAGTGCTCGCTGGCTGTGTGGATTTCCTCATCATTGGAGTTTAGTCTGAAGGTGTCCTCGGCCCACTTCTCAGTCACCTATAGCAGGTGGCAGGAATGCTGGGGGTCAGGTGAGCAGATATCAGGAGCCAGGAGAGCCGCTGCCCTGGTCCCACCCTATCCCTCATGGTTGAATGTCCCTGTTCTGGAGCTGAGTCCTGGAAGCACACCCTGGCAGGGGGCATCTCGGTTGGGGACACCTTCACTCATGAGCCATGTGAGCATCAGGGGTCATTAAAGGATGGAGACAGGCAGTCACAAAGGCACAGAGTTAAGCAGCACTTGAGTAGATAATTAGTTCAACATGAAACCATAGACTGGCAATACTGTACTATTTGCTCAGGGATTTGGTGGGAGTCTGGGGCCACAGGGAGGGGCCTTGGGTGGGGCTTGGGCCAAAGGGAATACCTGGTAAGCTGCCTGTTCCTTGAGCACTATGTGTACCAAGGGAAGCTGGAGTGAGGACAGCATGGGGAAGGGACAGGATTGCCACCCTGAACTGTGTGACCTTAGGCAAGACCCCTCTTCTCCAAGTGAGCTCAACCACACAGGTGATTTTGGGAGCCGGTGCCTGCTCAGACAGTCTGGATTTTAGCTTGGTAGGCGGATGGGAACCTGTGAGAGTTTAAAGATGTTAGGAGAACCTTTTTCCTGGGAGGGCTTTCGAACAAAGCATCCTTTCCAACAAACAGAGCCATCCTGGGCCCCGCTGAGAAAGGATCCTACTGGAAGCCCTCACCACTGTCTTGCTCCCCACTGGTGGTGATGGTGATGTCACTGATGCAGGTGGTGAGTGTCGTGAACAGAAGCTCAGACTGCTGTAGTCCCACCGAGCTGAAGTCAAAGTCTGTGTTCTGGACAAAGTAACCCTTGGGATATCTAGGGTGGGAGAATTGTGGTTTGCTGGACCCTTCCTGTGGGTTGTTTAACCTCAGCTCACATGTCTGTGGGCTCCCCAGATCCAGGCCCCTCCACTCTGTGAAGGCAACCCTGTCCCTAGCAGGAAGACCACGGGGTGGGGCGGGAAGGTGGGGGCGTGCGGTGGAGGCAGGATGGTACCCACTTGCAGGTGTCGGTCATGTAGCGGACAATCCGTGGTGGCTGGGTGGACAGAGTGTGTTGTTGATGGCAATAGTGATGGGGAGGTGGGAGGGCAAGGGCCCCACCTGGACCAGGCTGCTGATGTTGGCCTTGAAGGGGAGATAACCCCCCATGCTCTAGCGTATAGACCCCATTCACCCACTGCAGACACCGGAGATATGGGGAAGGGGTGGCAGGTCAGTGCATGAGGAGGGGCCCTGCTATCAGGCACTCCCTCATATCCTGCAGCATAGAGCTGAGGCCTGCCAGCCAGATGGGAAGAACGGCATCCCAATGGGGTAGAGTAGGCCACCTATCCCCCTACACAGGGCACAGCCTCCAGGACAGAGCAAGGAAGGGCCCCCCAACGTCCCATCCCAGGAGACAGGCTGTGGGTGGCACCTGGGACTCCCATGCTGTTCAGCAGCCACGCCCACCCACCTGCCCTACCTGCTCCTGGCCGCACTCACCGCAATGGCACAGGAGTGGACACTGCCAATCCTCAGCACCATTCTTGTGTACAGGTCCTGGGCCCACCACTCTGGCAGGGTCACTTCCTATATGTACCATACCCAGCTGACAAAATGCCATAGCCGCCAGTCCTAGCAGATGTTCTTGAAGCTGGAGAGAACCTGCATGTCCAGGGTGGGGCCAGACTGCGGAGAGAAGGGCGGAGCTCAGCTCCTAGGCCCCCAAACAGATCTGGGACCAAGGTACATTCCTGCCTTGGCAGAGCTGACCTCGGGATGTCTAAACTGTCCCCTCCTTCCCATCCTCGGGTCCAGTTCTGTGCAGCGCAAGCTGCTCTGGCTCCAGCCCGACTAGCTGGAGGAGTGTCTGGGTGGCTCATGCCTGTAATCAGTGTTTTGGAAGGTCAACATAAAATGATCGCTTGAGGCCAGGAGTTAGAGACCAGCCTGGGCAAAGTAGTGAGACCCTATATCTAACAAAAAGAATTTTTTTTAAAAAATTAGCCAGGCGTGGAGGCCCCAGCTAACTTGCAAGGCTGCGGCAGGAGAATCGCTTGAGCTCAGAAGTTAGGATTGTGCCATTGTGCTCCAGCCTGGGCGACAGAGCCAAGCCCAGTCTCAAAAAATGTTTTAAAAATTAAAAATAAACATTTAAAAAAAAGGACACTGCCCGGGCTCAGCCTTCGCCTCGGGAGGGGGCTCGGCAGGGGCGCTTCCTCCTCCTCCCCCGCGGTCCTCCTGGGTCCCCTCCGTGCCCCACTCGCCCAACCCCGCGCTCCCAAGCCCCACTGACCTTTAACCTTCTCTGGGCTCCCAACCACCTGGCACCCAGGGTAAGGAGCCTGCGAGGTGGCCCGGGCTCCCCCACTCCCTCCGCCGGGCTTCCGTGCGCCTCCCGGCCCTCTCCTGAGTACCGCAGCAGCCGCCGCTACCACTGATCCTGGGAGAAGTTATCGTGGAAGCTCCAGAAGCCGTCCAGCTCCTTGCGCTCCCGCGACCGGCTCTCCCGGGGATACAGCATCCCGCCCTGCAGCGCCAGCGCAGCCACACAACAGCTGCCCGGGCGCCGCCCAGACGACCGCCGGCCAGAAGCCAGGCTCCCCGCTCCGCCGCTCCGCTTCCGGCTGCGGGGATAAGGGAAACGCTGGAGAACGCTGGCGGGCGTGTCGCTTGACGTACTGAGGTCGGCAGCGCCATGTTGGTTGAGGGCAAGTGCCAGGTCTGGGAGGGGAGGCGGGGCCGGGCGCTGCTGGGTGGGGCCAAGGGCTGGCAACCCCGGGCTAGGCCTTTGGCGAAGTTGGACCCTCACACTCAGCCCCAGCCAAGAAGGGCGAGGTCTTCTCCACACTCCCGCCCAGGCTGGACGATCCAGGGCGGCAGGCCAGGACAGAACCCTTGAGATCTGGGAATCCCCAGTTTCTTCAAGGAGCACCTCCACTCGCTTTCCCCAGCGCGAATCCTCTGAGCAGGCCCCAGCGGAACCTCTTCCATGCCTGCCGGGTGCCGCGGTGGCTGTCGCCTGTAATCCAACAACTCTGGGAGGCAGAGGTTGGTGAATCACTTGAGGCCAGTCTGGCCAACATGCCAAAAACCGATCTCTACTTAAAATAGCTAGGTGTGGTGGCGTGCACCTGTAATCCCAGCTAGTAGAGAGACTGAGGCTGGAGAATCACTTGAACCTGGGAGGTGGAGGTTGCAGTAAGCCGAGATCATGCCATTGCACTCCAGCCTGGAGAGAGACTTATCTCAATTAAAAGCCAGGGCAGGGGCTCAAGCCTTGTAATCCCAGCAGTTTGGGAGATTCAAGTGGGCAGATTACTTGAGGTCAGGAGTTTGAGACGAACCTGGTCAACATGGAGAAATCCCATCCCTACTAAAAACACAAAAATTAGCCGGGTGTGGTAGTGGTCTCAGACCAGCTACTCCCAAGGCTGAGGGAGGAGAATTGCTTGAACCAAAGAGGCGGCCGTTGCCGTGAACCGAGATGGAGCCACTACACACCAGCCTCGGTGATAGAGTGAGATGCCATCTCGGGAAAAGGTTTATTAAAAAACGTTAGAACAGGAAGGAAAGGAAAAGAAAGAAGGATAGTACAACTTGGAAGAGGGTCAAGTGGGTGACCTGAGAAACCAAGTGTCCAGCTAGACCTCTTGACTCGGGGTTTCATAGGTTGGTATTCTTCTGAGGTCTTGCCACTCCTGATCCCTTAACTTAGGGCTCAGAACACACATTCTTCTTAGACCGTAAGTCATTCTCAGGCTACACATCAGTTACAGCTGTTGGGTCCCCCTGCCAGACAGAGGGGGCCCTCAGGTCCTAGGAACACCGCCTGGACACAATTGTTTGTTCGTTTGTTTGTTTTTTTGAGACAGAGTTTCTCTCTTGTTACCCCGGCTGGAGTGCAATGGCGCAATCTCAGCTCACCGCAACCTCCGCCTCCTGGGTTCAGGCAATTCTCCTGCCTCAGCCTCCTGAGTAGCTGGGATTACAGGCACGCACCACCATGCCCAGCTAATTTTTTTGTATTTTTAGTAGAGATGGGGTTTCACCATGTTGACCAGGATGGTCTCGATCTCTTGACCTCGTGATCCACCTGCCTTGGCCTCCCAAAGTGCTGGGATTATAGGTGTGAGCCACCGCGCCCGGCCCTGGGCACAGTTGTTTTTACCATTCCTCCCCACCCTCTTTTTCATGCTCGCCCCATCTTCTGAAATACTGGAAATGGAGTCCCCAGCATGGTGAAATAAATACATTCTAGGAACTGACAAGACCTAAAGGCTTTTTCACAAAGGTTTATGCCCTTTTTTCCTTATTTTCTTTAATTTTACTTTTACATTACTTTAGCGAAATGTTTACACACTTAAATTAGGCTACAGTTCACTGTTTATGAGTCAGCTTTAGGCCAAATTTAACAAAAGTAATCCCAGCAACTCGGATGGCTGAGGCAGGAGAATCACTTGATTCAAGAGGCAGAGGTTGCAGTGAGCTGAGATCAAGCCACTGTACTCCAGCCTGGGTGACAGAGACTCCAACTCAACTCATAAATAAAGGGAGAAACTTACACATTTCTCTATATATGGATGTTTATATATGTTATATGAAAATATGACATTTCTATTTATAAATCTACATATTTAATACATTAATTCATTAAATATATATTTTATATACATTATATATACACATATAAAAAGGAATGTATTTCTTTGCTGTTCTGACACTTCCCTGATCTTCTTTTCCCTGTTGGTTCTGGTCTTGTTTCCAATTCCTGGAGGTAGCCAGCTTCTAAATCCATGGAATTTCTTGAATGATAGCCGTGTCTGTTACTCATGGTGGCCGCCCCAGGGTCACACCTGAGTGCATGCTAACCAGATGACTTGGCCAGCGGGCCAACCACACCAGAAAGACCAATCGTGATTTGAAGGTTGTGACTTTGAGCCACATGATGTCCGCCTGACCTCCAGAAAGGAACTGGGGGGCTGGAGATGGACTCAACTGCCTGGCCAATGATTGCATCAAACCCCTGATGTAATAAAACCCCTGGACATGGAAGCCAAGGTGACCTTCCCTGGATGGTGATACACATCAGTGTGCTGAGAGGATGATGCGTCCTGAGGACACAGAAATGTCATCTTCAGGACCCTCTTGGAGTTTATACTATGTGTCTCTGCTTTTGGCTAGCATTAACTTTTGTCAGTTTTTCTTATATAAAACTGTAATGAAAATATCATGCCCGCCTGGGCACAGTAGCTCATGCCTGTAATTCCAGCACTTTGGAAAGCTGAGGCGGGCAGATCACCTGTGTTTGGGAGTTCGAGACCAACCTGGCCAACACAGTGAAACCCTCTTTACCAAAAATACAAAAATTAGCCAGGTATGATGGCAGTCACCTGTAATCCCAGCTACTCGGGAGACTGAGGCAAGAGAATCACTTGAAACTGGGAGTCAGAGGTTGCAGTAAGCTGAGATTGTGCCATTGCACTTTTGCTTAACAGAGTGACTTCATCTCAAAAAAAAAGTATCTTGCTTTTCTGAGTTCTTTGAGTTGTTATAGAGAAATTATCAAACCTAAGGACACTGTGGGAACCTCTGAATTTGTAGCCAGTTGGTGAGAAGTACATGTGGTCTGAGGACACCCAAACTTGTAGCTTGCATGTAAAGTGAGGGCAGCCTAATGGGGGCTTGTGGCCTTAACCTGTGGCATTTGTCATTAATATCACAGAGTTGACATCAAAATTGTGTCACACAGGCCAGCTGTGATGGCTCATGCTTGTAATCCCAGCACTTTGGGAGGCAAGGTAAGAGGATCACTTGAGCTTGAGTCTGAGGCTACAGTGAGCTATGACTATACCACTGCACCCCAGGCTGGGTGACAGAGCAAGACCCCAACTCCAAAAATAAACAATAAAACAAAAAAGAATTGCATGGCACAGTGCCTGTCTTTAATGGCTCAAATGTTGCAGGAACTTTCTTTTTTTTTTTTTTTTTTGGAAGACAGAGTCTCGTTCTGACACCCAGGCTGGAGTGCAGTGGCACAATCTCTGCTCACTGCTACCTCCAATTTCCAGGATCAAGTGATTTCTCCTGCCTCAGCCTCCCGAATAGCTAGGATTACAGGTGGGCACCATCTGTAATCCATCCCCAGCTAATTTTTGTGTTTTTAGTGGAGATGGGGTTTCACCATGTTGGCCAGGCTGGTCTGGAACTCCTGCTGGGATCACAGGTGTGAGCCACTTTAGAAACTAAAAAATAAAAACCTTTAGATAGTTTTTTTACCACCTGGTTTTCTTCTCTCAATATCGTTCCCTCATTTCCTGCTTTAAAACTCTAGCTTAGGGGCTGGGCATGGTGGCTCATGCCTGTAATCCCAGCAATTTGAAAGGCCAGGGTGGGTGGATCACTTGAGGTCAGGAGTTTGAGATCAGCCTGGCTAATATGGTGCAACCCTGTCTCTACTAAAATACAAATATTACCTCAGCGTGGTGGCACACACCTGTAGTCCCAGCTTCTTGGGACGCTGTGACAGAAGAATGCTTAGAACACAGGAAGTGGAGGTTGCAGTAAGCCAAGATTGCACTACTGCACTGGAGCCTGAGCAACAGAGCGAGACTCCATCTCAAAACAAACAAAAACCTCTAGCTTAGGATTGGCCTTCTATTTTTTTTTCTTTTTAAAAATATTTTTAAAAAATAGATGTAGATGCTATGTTGCCCAGGCTGGTCTCAAACTCCTGGTGTCAAGTTCTCCTGCTATGACTTTAAAAGTGCTGGGATTATAGGTGTGAGCACTGCACCCAGCTTTATGTTTGTTTGTTTGTTTGTTTTTGAGACGGAGTTTCACTGTTGTTACCCAGACTGGAGTGCAATGGCACGATCTCGGCTCACTGCAACCTCCGCCTCCTGGGTTCAAGCAATTCTCCTGCCTCAGCCTCCCGAGTAGCTGGGACTACAGGTGTGCACCACCACGCCTGGCTAATTTTTGTATTTTTAGTAGAGACAGGGTTTCACCTTGTTGACCAAGATGGTCTCGATCTCTTGACCTCGTGATCCACCCGCCTCGGCCTCCCAAAGTGCTGGGATTATAGGCGTGAGCCACCGCGTCCGGCCACCCAGCTTTATGTTTTTTCCTACATGAAAAATCATAAAAGATTATCTTCCAGAGCTAATAAATATGTGCAAATAACCACAACCCCATTAAGGAAAAATGTCACTTGATAGCAAATAAGCAATCCAGAGCAATATGATCACACTCTGTAAAGGTGAAAAAACTTCATCTTGATTACATTTCCCCAAGACATGCACTGCACTGTTCTCTTGAAAACACACAGTGCATGTCCTTTAAAACACACGTCTTCTTTAAAGTAACATACAAACATGTCAATATGAGGTAAAAAAATCACATCTGAATTCTCACATTTCAAAAACACACACTTAACATCAAACAAAAATTTATTTTTACAGGAATTTAGGGTAACTACCACGTAGCTATAAAGGTAATAGATATATTAAGTAAGTATCATAGAAATAAAGTGTCATCCCTTCAGCACCACATGTAATAATATATACAAAGATTTAAAGATAAAAGACTAGCCGGGCGCGGTGGCTCACGCCTGTAATCCCATCACTTTGGGAGGCCGAGGCAGGTGGATCGCAAGGTCAGGAGATCAAGACCATCCTGGTCAACATGGTGAAACCCCGTCTCTACTAAAAATGCAAAAAAATTAGCTGGACATGGTGGTGTGTGCCTGTAATCCCAGCTACTCAGAAGTCTGAGGCATGAGAATTGCCTGAACCCAGGAGGCAGAGTTTGTGGTGAGCTGAGATCACGCCATTGCACTCCAGCCTGGGTAACAAGAGTGAAACTCTGTCGCAAAAATAATTAAATAAATAAATAAATAAATAAATAAAGATAAAAGACTTAGGATAAAAAGAATCCTCTCTTAAAAAGGAAAACAAAATTATATTTATGTGTATATAACAGCTAACACACAACTTTACAGGAACAGGATTTCCAAACTATTTAAAATAAATATAGTAAGAATTCTATGCCCACCTTTTTCAAAATAAACCAATAAAATGTATAGTATATATTATACCTATTAATTATACCTAAAATATGTTAAAAATCACAACTGGATTCTCACAATTCAATAACAAACACAAAACAGCAAATAAAAATTTCTAGTACAAGAATTTACGGGAACTATCAAATAGATATAAATGTAATAGATTATTATGTAAGCATCATAGATAAAAAGAGTGTTCACTTCAGGAGCACATATAATAATAGATAATGAAAGACTTAGGATAAACAGAATTCTTTCTTAAAAATGGAAAGAAAAGTATATTTATGTATATGTAACAGCTATAACTCTTATCAAAAAACTCTACAGGAACAGCATGTCTTCAAAAGTATAACAATTTCCAAACTATCTGACATAAAAGTACTAATAATTCAATGGCCAACATTTTCCAAACAAACCAACAAAATGCATAGTATGCATGAAGCTATCTGCTACAATCCTGTGGCACTCATATTTTACAAATAATTCCATGCCAATCTGGGCACCTGCACTGTGCCTTCAAATGCTCCCGGACTGTGGCAACCAAGTCCATGGGAAGCAGGACCTCCAGGTTCCACCCCAGGGAGGTTGAATTCAGCAATTCCCTAAAAAGGGAGGTGGTGCCCGCAGGAAGGGGTGGGAACAAGAAACACCACTGGTTTCTCACTGTCCTCCACAGATGCCCAGAAGTACCCCCAACCCACCACTCCTAGGAGGACAGCATGATCACACTATTCAGCTCCTTCTAGAACAGTCCAGGTACTTCTAGGTTCTTCCAGATGATCTGCACAAATGGTTCCTCTCTTCCTTCCCAGTGTCTTCCATTAGCATTGGAATAAACTTCCTGCTGAAAATCTGCATCTCCCCTGGGCCCAGTGTTCTGGAAGTGAGAGAGAGGATGTCACACTTCAAGGAGGGAGTTTTCTAGAGAGGAAGGTTATTCACATTCCACATCAATTCTAACTAGAGTTCAGAGCAATTGATCAATCCAGTTTTATCTCCTGCCCTTCATTCTCTACCCTGCTTCTGAACCATCATGTTCAATTGTGATATTCACACTTTGGCGACCCTGACTCCAAAACTCAATTAATACACCCAAGGCCAGCCCCAGTGATCTGCTTTATAGCCACGACTTTGGGTGGGTTTGCCCAGGGAGTAGAGCACCCTCAGAGAATGTGGCTTTGGACTTCATCACACCTGGGGCCTTTTGTGTCACTTAAGATCTAAACTTGTAAACATGCTAGCTGTGTTTCTAATGTGACAACATCACAAACCACCAGTCCAGAAACCTGATCCGTAATCCCATTTCCTAATGGTTAAGTCTCATGCTGAGTCAACGTGGTTAGCTGCACAAGACATAAACCAAATCTTCACTGAATCCTTGACCTGCATCGGTAACTCAAGTGCCTCAATCATAATGAACCTCCTGGAACTCAGTATTTATGATGATTTTTGAGACAGGGTCTCAGACGGGAGTGGAGTGGCAGGATTAGGGCTCCCTGCAGCCCCAACCTCCCAAGCTCCAGAGATCCTCCCTCCTCAGCCTCCTGAGTAGTTGGGAATAGAGATGCCTGCCACATTGCCCAGTTAATTTGCGTATTTTTGTGGAAAAGAGATCTCGCCACGTTGCCCAGGCTTGAAGCTGGTTCAAGCAATTGGGTTCCTCAGATTTCCTAAACAGACCACAATATTCTGCCTTGACTCTGGGGGACACAGATGTACCTTCCCTCGGGCCAATGACCTCAGGCCTCCATGGTCTCTGGAGCTCTAGGAAAGGAGGGTGAGGTTTCATACCCACACCCAGTGCTCTGGGTCATAAGCCTGGATCTGGAAAAGGAAATGCCCCTTGAGAAGATGGGGACTCCTCAGATGCCCCTCCCTCCCCTTGTCCAGCCTCCAACGCACTTGATTCCTCCCCACCTCCTCTACCTCCCCACACCCCACCCACCTCCTCCAACTCCTGTGGGGAAACCCAAGCTCTCCAGCACATAGAACAGAAGAACTGGAACCGAAGCTTCTGGAACAAGGGGCGCTGGGAGAGGTTCTTCCCATACAGGAAGTAGAAGATGGCTTGTTTGGAAGCCTCATCATCCTCCTCCATGTCATTGGCCAGGTAGCTAGGGGCAGAAATCAGGTTGCTGCTGAGAGACACCACCAGGAGAGACCTCCGGCTGAGGTCAACTTCCCAGACAGGAGGGCGGGGGACTGTCCTCAGCCCAGGACTGTTACCCACCCTGCAGATAGCTATGCCTTCCTCAGGAGGGACCTGCTGGACAAAGACCTGCTGAAAGGTGCCTCTTACACCTTCAGGATGGAAAGATACAAAAACCCAACTCGTGGCTGAGAGTGGTGGCTCACGCCTGGAATCCCCACGCTTTGGGAGGCCAAGGCAGAAAGATTGCTTGAGGTCAGGAGTTCAAGACAAGCCTGGACAACATAGAAAGACCCTTGCCTCTATTAAAAATAGAAAAAACTCTTGGCCATGCATGGTGTTTCACGTCTGGAATCCCAGCACTTTGGGAGGCTGAAGTGGGTGGATTGCTTGAGGCCAGGTGTTTGAAACCAGCCTGGTCAAGATAGGGAACCCCATCTCTACTAAAACTACAAAAATCAGCCTGGCACAGTGACACACACCTTAGTTCTAGCTACTCAAGGAGCTGAGGTGCAAGAATTCCATGAACCCAGGAGATAAATGTTGCAGTGAGCCAAGATCAGGCCACTGCATTCCAGCCTGGGAGATGGAACGAGACTCTGTCTCAATAAATAAGTAGGCCGGGGCAGACACGGTGGCTCATGCCTGTAATCCCAGCATTTTGGGAGGCTGAGGTGGGTGAATCACAAGGTCAGGAGTTCAAGACCAGCCTGGCCAAGATGGTGAAACCCTGTCTCTACGAAAAATACAAAAATTAGCGGGGCGTAGTGGCAGGCGCCTATAATTCCAGCTGCTTGGGAGGCTGAGGCAGAGAACTTGAACCCAGGAGGTGGAGGTTGCACTGAGTCGAAATCATGCCATTGTACTCGAGCCTGGTCTACAGAGTGAGACTCCATCTCAAAAAAAAAAAAAAAAGAAGAAGAAGTAGGCTGGGCACTGTGGCTCACGCCTATAATCCCAGCACCTTGGGAGGCTGAGGTGGGTGCATCATGAAGTCAGGAGATTGACACCATCCTGGTTAACATGGTGAAACCCCGTCTCTACTGAAAATACAAAAAAAAATTAGCCGAGCGTGGTGACACACACTTGTTGTCCCAGCTACTTGGAAGGCTGAGATAGAATTCGTTGAACTGTGGAGGTGGAGGTTGCAGTGAACTGAGATCACGCCATTGCACTCCAGCCTGGGCAACAGACTGAGACTTTATCTTAAAAAATAAAAAAACAAAATAAAAATAAATAAATAACTGTCCTGGTGTGGGGGCACAGCCCTGTAGTCTGAGCTAATCAGGATGCTGAGTTGGGAGGATTGCTTGAGCCCAGGAGGTGCAGGCTGCTGTGAGCTATGATTTCACTACTGCATTCCAGCTTGGGGGACAGAGCAAGTCTCTGTCTCAAAAAAAAAAAAAAAAGGATACATTGATATCCTGCCAAACTCTGCCTTCTACAGGCATCTAGTCTAATGAGACTGGAAGAAAGCAGGGCACATCACCTAATCCCAGTGTCACAATAGGATGTAACTAGAGTGCTGTGGGTGTGCAGAGGTGGGAAGATGAGGGCAGGCATCACAGAGGCTGTGGGGTGAACTGACTTTAAGGAATATGTAATTCTCCTCAAAACCACGTGTGCAGGACCCCAGACAGAAAACACAAACACGAAGTCGAGTGGAGGGCATTTGGAAGGAGCGGTGACACCAGGCCGGGAAACACCAAGAGGGCGAGCTGGTTTGGCTGTAGAGAGATTGTAGAGAGGGTGGAATTGGCACCGTAACCCTGGCCTCGATTTCAAAAGACATCAGCTAAGGAAGCTGTTCAGGTGGGCAGTGGGGGGTTGGACCTGGCTTTGGAGAGATGTTCAGGCTGCACTAGGAAGCCCCCTGGCTTGGGAGAGGCTCTAGGAGACCCCAGCAGGGAGCATTTGACAGTGGATTCGAGTGATGCGAGGGGGCCTGAACTGTGGCCTCTGTCATGGGAACCCGGAGGAGGATGATGGACCATTGCATTTGGGGTTGATGTGGGAAGGAGAGAGACAGAGGAACCAGAAACAGCTCCTTGCTGGGGGAAGCGTTGTATCTGCTACATTTCCTCTCCCCTTGGGGGCTGGTTACAATTCTTTTTGTTTTATTCTTTTATTTGTAAACTGGTGTTTGAGCTTGTTTTTTTTTGTTTTTTTTTTTGGTTTTTTTGAGAAAAAGTCTCAGTCTGTTGCCCATGCTGGAGTGCAGTGGCTCAATCTTAGCTTACTACAACCTCTCCCTCCTCAGTTAAAGCAGTTCTCTTGCCTCAGCATCCTGAGCAGCTGGGATTACAGGTGCACATCACCGTGCCTGGCTAATTTTTGTACTTTTGTAGTAGAGACAGGGTTTCGACATGTCGGCCAGGCTGGTCTTGATCTCCTGACCTCAGGTGATCTGCCCATCTCAGCCTCCCAAAGTGCTGGGATAATAGGCGTGAGTCTACACCTGGCCTGAGTTTGTTTTTAGATAAAACAGTCTAAAAACACCATGGTATAATGCTATCTTTTCAATACACAGAGTAAAGAGGACAAATAGGTGAAAGAATAAATGAAAGATTGGAATCCCACTTCCCCCCGCTGTCCCAAGGTGTTGGACATTGACGAATAGGAGAAAGCAAGTCACTCACAGGGCCAGGAAGAAATGAATGTGTCGGTATTGCCAGGAGAAGAGGCCGGCATGGCTAAAATATGCTATGACCATAGCTAGCAGATACTGATGGAGACAAAGGAACACAGAAAGAGAGAAGTCACATCTTAGAAGAGGAAGATCGTGGAGATGGGGCAATGGGGGGCTGGGGAGGGGTTGTCCATCAGAGGGACCTCAGTATTGGGGTGACTGTGCTTCTTCGGAATCTGTGGGGTGGAGGGGGATTTGATGGTGGGATGCAAGTCTGAGGAGCCAAAGTGGTGATGCGCCCAGGATGGTGAGCTCCAATGGGATCTTTGCAGGGAGTGTGTCTACATTGGCTGGTGTCAGGAGGGTCTTTTCTGTGCCAGACAGAGAACTGGAAGTAGAGAGGCCAGGAGCTTCAAGGCTGCGGCCAGATTGTGGCCCAGGGCTCAGATCTCAAAGGACCCATAGGAGAGGAAGGGGCCGCTCAGTCACTCTGCAAGAGACCAGCAGAGACCCAAGGGAAATGCTGACAAATCATAAAAAGACCAAGAATAGCCAGGAGTATTGGCTCAAGCCTGTGACCCCAGTACTTTGACAGGTGGAGACAGGAGGATCTTGTGAGCCCAAGAGTTCAAGAATAACCTGGGCAACACAACGAGACCCTCTTTCTACAGAAATTACAGAAATTAGTGGAGCAAGGTGGCCTGTGCCTGTAGTCCCAGCTACTCAGGAGGCTGAGGCAGGAGGATTGCTTGAGCGGAAATTAGAGGCTGCCATGAGCTATGATCATGCCCCTGCACTCTATCCTGATAAGCAAAGCTAGACTCTGTCTCAAAAAAAAAAAAAAAAATGGTAGGTACCAAAACTGAAGACCTTGGGAGCTGGCTGGGCACAGTGGCTCACGTCTATAATCCCAGCACTTTGGGAGGACAAGGCGGGCGGATCACCTGAGGTCAGTTGTTCAAGACAAGCCTGGCCAACACAGCAAAACCTTCTCTCTACTAAAAACACAAAAATTAGCCGGGTGTGGTAGTGCACACCTGTAATGCCAGCTACTTTGGAGGCTGAGACAGAGAATCATTTTAACCCTGGAGGTGAAGGCTGCAGTGAGTCAATTTCATGACACTGCCCTCCAGTCTGGGCAACAGAGTAAGACTCTATCTCAGGAAAAAAAAAACTGTGGAAGTGGAGCATCAGGTGGGAGTTGGTGAAAGGAGAGAGAGGGGAACTGTGGGTGTGGAGGCTGCGACCTCCCCCAGGCTGTTGGAACAGGAAGACAGTTACCTGGAGAACAACCTTACCTTGTCCGATGCCCACAGATCTTTGTCCCAGGCCAGGAATCTTTTAACGACAGGATCCTCTGTGATTAGAGAGCATGCTAGTGTGAGAACCAGAACAGTTTCCCTGGGAGCAACAGGGCATTGAGGAGAAGTGCGCCTCCCTGGGGAAAGCCTCAGGATGGTGGCTCGGGTGAGGTGGATGGGACAGGAGAGAATGACTTTCACTGGGCAAGGGAGAGGCTCCTGCTCTGAGGCTGCCCAGAGAAGTGGCTGAAGGAGGTCCTGGGTGTGCGAATCTATAGGATGGAGAGCTGGGAAGAAGCCAGGATGCCCTCCCTGCAGACACGCAGGGACAACTGCAGAGTCATAAAGTAATTCCCATCATTTCCTCATAAGACTCACATCAGGGTGTGACCATGGCTTTGGTATCTCCCTCTAGGGATGAAGCCAGTTACGTTTAGAAAAGTCAGCAAGAGGCTGGGCACGTTGACTCACGCCAATATTCCCAGCACTTTGGGAGGCTGAGGTGGGTAAATCACAAGGTCAGGAGTTTGGGACCAGCCTGGCCAACATGGTGAAACCCCATCTCTACTAAAGATATAAAAAATTAGCTGGGTGTGGTGGTGTGTGGCTGTAATCTCAGCTATTCGGGAGGCTAGGGCAGGAGAATCACTTGAACTCAGGAGGTGGAGGAGGCTGCAGTGAGCCGAGATCGCACCATTGCACTCCAGCCTGGACAACAGGGTGAAACTTTGTCTCAAAAAAAAGTCAGCAAGAAACATTAAGTTTCAGAGGGCACAGCTGAAACCTCTTTCTTTGATTTTGTTTTTATTTCAATTGATTGATTGATTGGAGACGGAGTCTCACTCTGTTGCCCAGGCTGGAATGCAATGGCATGACCTCAGCTCACCTGCAACCTCCACCTCCCAAGTTCAAGCAATTCTCCTGGCTCAGCCTCCTGAGTAGCAGGGATTACAAGTATGCACAGCCACTCCCAGCTATTTTTTGTATTTTTAGTAGAGACGGGGTTTCACCATGTTGGTCAGGCTGGTCTCAAACTTCTGACCTCAGGTGATTCACCCACCTCAGCCTCCCAAAGTGCTCAGATTACAGGCATGATCTACTGCGCCTGGCCTTGGTTTTTCTTCTGAGACAGGGTTTTGCTCTGTCACCCAGGATGGAGTGCAGTGGTACAATCATAGCTCACTGCAGCCTCAAAGTCCTGAGTTCAAGCAATCCTCTTGCCTCAGCCTCCTAAAGTGCTGGGATCTCAGGCATGAGCCACGGCACCTGGCCTGAAACCAAGCTTTCTTATCTCAATCGCAGACTTTCATCAAGTCTAGCTGAATCCTCTATGGCCCCCTAGGCATCCCTCATGAGTGGTCACTTCTGAGTACTACTGCATGGAGAGCTCACCCACTAGGGGGGCATATTTTCCTCATGAGAAAAGTATGGTTATGGGAAGTTTCCTCTTTTTGAAAAGAACAGGATTGGAGGTGCTCTCTGGGGTGTCCTCCTACTAAGCAGCCTGTTGCAGACCTCGTGGTGCTCAGGGAGCATGGGCGACATCTGCCGTCACTTCATCTTCACCTTGAGACCACACAGGGTCTCCATCACCCAGGTCTCCTCAGGCTCAGGGGCAAGCACCTTCTCTGGCTCCTCCTCTGATTTGTCCAACCACTCCCTCTTCCGTTTCCAACACAGAAACCTAAGTAGGGGGTTGCGATCTACCCAAGGGGTTGAGTAAAATAAACAGGCCACTATGTAATGCTTCTGCAACTGATCACCTTAAACCCCGACCCCAAACCCCAAACCATTCTCCATCCTCCCAGCCCCGCAGACTGTTGGCTTCTGCAAGCCATCTTTCCGTCTTTCTCTATTTAAACCCCCATGTGCCTCTCCTTCCCCTCCCTATTCTTCCATCTCTCTGTCCACAGAACGCATCCTCAATTCCTTTTCTGGTCCCAGCTCTCTGAGTCCCACTTTTTTTTTTTTTTTTTTGGTTACTTTGTCGCCCAGGCTGGAGTGTAGTGGTGCAATCTTCTATCACTGCAACCTCCACTTCCTAAGTTCCAGTGATTCTCCTGCCTCAACCTCCCAAGTAGCTGGGATTACAGGTGCCCACCATAACATTCAGCTCATTGTACTTTAGAGACAAGGTTTTACCATGTTGGCCAGGCTGGTCTCATACTCTTGGCCTCAGGTGACCCTCCTGCCTTGGCCTCCTAAAGACCTGGGGTTGCAGGTGTGAGCCACTGCACCTGGCCTGAGTCCCTCCTTGCTTCCCCCACACACTCCCTCAGTGCTCCTTCCTGACTACTGGGTTGGTCTCATTTCCTTTCCTGGTCCCTGGCTCTCTGCATTCCTCCTTTTAGTTTTTTTTTTAAGACAGAATCTTGCTTTGTTGCCCAGGCTAGAGTGTAGTGGTGTGATCCCGTATCACTGCATCCCAACCTCCATCTCCCAGGTTCCAGTGATTCTTCTGCCTCAGCCTCCCAAGTTGTGGGATTATAGGTGCCTGCCATAATGCCCAGACCATTCCTGTATTTTTAGTAGAGATGGGGTTTCACCATGTTGGCCAGGCTGGTCAAACTCTTGGCCTCAAGTGATCCGTCTCAGCCTCCCAAAGTGTTGGGATTATAGGCGTGAACCACTGTGCCTGGCCCGAGTCCCTCCTTTCTTCTCATACACCTTCCTCAAGTTCTCCTTCCTGACTTCTGGATCCTTGTTTGCTTTTTTTTTTTTTTTTTTTTTTGAGATAAGGTCTCACTCTCTTACCCAGACTGCAGTGCTGTGGCAGGATCTCGGTTCACTGCAACCTTCGACTCCCAGGCTTAATCAATTTTCCTGCCTCAGTATCCCGAGTAGCTGGGGTTACAGGCACATACCACTACCACCCAGCTAATTTTTGTTTTTTAGTAGAGATGGGGTTTCACCATGTTGGGCAGGCTATCTCAAACTCCTGACCTCATGTGATCTGACCACCTCAGCCTCCCAAAGTGCTGGGATTACAGGCGTGAACCACCCCCACCACCCCGTTCCGCCCTGGTTCTTAGTCAATCCTCTCTCATCTCTTCTTCCTCTAGTCCCCTTACCTGATGGTCCCGGCACTTCATTGTCCACCACCTCCGGGAGGGAGTACCTCGAGGTGCTAGGCTGGGGGCTCTGCTCCTCAACCTGGGATTGCTGTTGATGGTTGGCCATCATCTCCCCTAAACTCTGGTCCCTCCCAGGGAATCCAGTTCCTGTTGTGGCCAAAGCCTCCTTCCACACTCTACTAGGACCCAGAAGAATGCATTATCTATTCTCAAGGCTGGGAAGAAGTCAGGAGTGGAGAACAGTTCTGAGAAGATACTGTTATCCACCTGAGATTCAAAGTGCCCATGGAGTTCAGTCCCTCCAATCAGGAAGGCTGGAATCTCTGATGTCATCAGTCATTCCAACCTGGCAACCAGTTTGAAGAAAAACACATGTAACTGCCAGCCTGAGCTCCTGTCCTGGAGATCCGAAGTGAATGGCATCTCCTGCCACATCCCAACTTCAGACCACTGTCCTAAAGCATATTCAGGGTCTCCGCATCCCTCATTCCCTGTCCCAGCAGAGGCTGTATCCTCTCAAATCAAAGGCTGAAGTATGCTGGGGTCTCATCTGGACATGCGTATTTCAGAGTCCTGTCTGGTGGGAGAGGGAGCAGGGTGGCAAAGAAAAGCAGGGAAAGCAGAAACGATGAAACCTTACAAGAGAGAGACTAACATGTACAGGAGATCCCAGGTACACTGACTTGATGAAAAATTTACATCAAAGCACTCCATTTAGCAAAGCTTTTCTGCTGAATGTTTCCTGACATTCACTGTCTGAGATTCTGTACTAGGGGTACATGCGTCCTCTGCCCTAAGGCATCTTTGAGTCCAAGAGACATTGTGAGGACTGAAAATCAAAGGAAACTGTCCATGAGCTCACACATATTTCCAGTGGTGTCCCCAATTTCAGGGAGTACATGGATTATCTAAAACCAGCCCCTCCAGTTGAGCTAAGAAACTCTAGTCTATATATCAAGTTTTGTATCATACATATTTCCCTGAACTCAGAAATTTCCCTACCATTTATGAATTCTATGAATAAAATATCACATGTACAAAAAGACTAAGTCAAAAAAAATCTCAGCTATGCACAGTGATTTATGCTTGTAATCCCAGCAATTTGGTTGGCCAAGGGAGGAAGACTGCTTGAGGACAGGAGTTCAAGACCAGTGTGGGCAACAGAGCAAGACCCCATCTCTATTTAAAAAAATAAAAAATAAACAAATTAGGGCCGGGCGCGGTGGCTCACGCCTGTAATCCCAGCACTTTGGGAGGCCGAGGTGGGTGGATCACCGAGGTCGAGAGATCGAGACCATCCTGGTCAACATGGTGAAACCCCGTCTCTACTAAAAATACAAAAAATTAGCTGGGCATGGTGGTGCATGCCTGTAATCCCAGCTACTCAGGAGACTGAGGCAGGAGTATTGCCTGAACCCAGGAGGCGGAGGTCGGAGGTTGCGGTGAGCCAAGATCGTGCCATTGCACTCCAGCCTGGGTAACAAGAGCAAAACTCTGTCTCAAAAAATAAATAAATAAACAAATTAGCCAGGTGTGGTGGCTGGCACCTGTGTTCCAACTACTTGGGAGACTGAGGCAGGAGGATTGCTTGAGCCCAGGAGTTAGAGGCTACAGTGAGCTATGATTGTGCCACAGCACTTCAGCCTGAGCAACAGAGTGAGACCCTGTGTCAAAAAAATTTTTTTAACAAAAAATAAAAGGTTCATGGCATTCAGAGGCCATCCTGGGCAACTGTGAGTTCTGGCTGTAGTGGCTCACATCTGTAATCCCATCACTTTGGGAGGCCAAAGCAGATGGATCACCTGAGGGCAGGAGTTCAAGACCAGCCTGGTTCACATGGTGAAACCCTGTCTCTACTAAAAGTACAAAAATCAGCTGGGCATGGCAGCAGGTTCCTGTAATCCCAGCTACTTGGGAGGCTGAGACAGGAGAATCGTTTCAACCCAGGAGGTGGAGGTTGCAGTGAGCCAAGATAGTGCCAC